GACATAGTCAGTAATATGCTAGTGGCTCTTTAAAAAAAAAAAAAGCATCATTTCTCAACAGGGGCTTGCAGGTGTTCCAAATCAATGCCAGGCATTTTGCTGTTACCTCAATAGCTGCTGAGTGCAAGTGTTCTAAACAAACAGGTGTATTGTGTATTTATACAAATGCTCAGTGCTCCCAGGACCCCTGAGCTACCCACTGTGTACAAAGCACCTAATTTCTCACCTGTAACACTGAGGGATAGGACTGTGAAAACCTTGGCGGCTTAGAACAATGATTTCCTGAGTGTTTTAAAAAGAAACAAGTTCTTTTCTTGTCCGCTGAGCCAAAGACGCAGCATCTAAATGCAATAATTCTTTCATGATCACATAAAACATATCTCTGAAATATGTAAATATTATCTGTGACACAAGTACCAAGGACGAAATTAGTACATCTCAATGCTTTGGAATGTTATTTAAACATTTTAGCATAACATAGGAGTTTTATTATGTTTATTACAACTTTTGTGTTTTATAACAGCGTTTTTACCAACGACATTTTCATTTCACGTCACCTTTTATTTAATAATGTCCCTTTTTCAAGACAGATTGGGAATCTGAGCCCCTGGTTGCTGCCGATGACGCGGTTCTGTTGGCTTCATCAGGCCGTGACTTTTAAACACACATACTGGGGCGGTTTGCAGCCAAGCAGGAAGCGGCTGGGATGCGAGTCAGCCCCTCCAAGTCTGAAATCATGGTTCTTTGTCGGAAACCGGTGGATTGCTCCCTCTGGGCTGGAGGTAAAGTGCTGCCATGAGTGAAAGAGTTAAGGGATCTTGTAGCCTGGAGCATGAGATGGACGTAAGGGTTGGTGCAGCGTCAGCAGTAATGCACACGTCGTACCGATTTCTTGATGAAGAGGGAGCTAAGCTTAAAGGGAAAGCTCATGATTTACCAGTCGGTCTACGTTCCAACCCTCACCTATACTCATGAGCCCTTGGTAGCGACGGTAAGAATGACATCGTGGATACAGGCAGCTGAAATGTGATTCCTCTGTAGGGTGGCTGGGCTCAGCTTTAGGGTGACGAGCTCGGGTGCCTTGCAGGCGCATTCCTTTAGAGGTTTTCTGGGCACGTCCAACAGGGTGGAGTCCCCGGGGAACTTGCTGGAGGGACTGCATATGTCATGTGGCCTGGGAACACCTTGGGATCCCCCAGAAGGAGCTGGAAAATGCAACTGGGGACGTCTTGAACGCCCTGCTAAGCCTGCTGCCGCCAGACTCCAGAAGAGCAAAGGCATATGGATGGATGGCCTTTTCACGGCAGCAGTGTTGTCGCTGCTTCCCAGCCGATCACAAACTCCTCACTCTAATGCAAACAAGCTCAAGAGCTGAGAAAAACTAACAAGCAAGCAAATAAAATAGAAATGCCCTTGTAGAGTACATATCCCCACCTCACAATTTTTAAGAAAGTCTTTCATCATATATGCCCCAAAATTTGACAGGTTCTTTCCTTGCCTTAACCTTTGTGTTCCAACAAAATCTTGCCTTTCGTTTCCAGGGCTACCCATCACACCTCCACCGTCTGTACCTCTGCTGTCCCTTCTCTTGCCAAGTGCAGACTAACATCTGCCTTAGGTGGGGAGCCAGCTTCCTGTTCTAGTGAAGCCACAGGTGTGTGACGGAAAAAAAAAAAAGCGCTACTCACAAACAGGAATGTAGCTTCGCGTTAGTTCAGACAGGCACGGAGTCAGGCGGTCACATGGCCCCTCCTGTCCAATCGTCATCACTAAAGTCCAGCCCACCCACTTAGCGTGCTTTATAACTGAGGCAGCGTTCATTCATTCTGCCCGCTTCACGCTCACCACATCGCTGCTACTCCAGCCTCTGCAGATCGTCAAATCTCCTCCTCCTCCCCAACCACCACCTTTTAAAAACAGTTCAATCTCATATAACCCTGGTGTTTCCCATATCATGGGATTGTAGGTTGCAGATGGTTCGTTATTGTACCTTGAACTATGTAATCTAGATTCTGTTAGTGAAGACTATTTAGTTGGTCTCCTGTCCTCGTGTTCATACCGTATTTGAAAAATTGTAGATTGTAAATTCATGGCTCTGCGGGGGTTTGTGATCTCAGGGATTATCTGTCATGCTTCATCAGATTGTTCCAGAGCATCACGAGCAGAGTCACCGCCAAACTAAATGTATGTGATCTCAAATAAATGGTTAAATCTGATAAAGTGTCCTGTCTGAATTGTTAATATGAGTAGGATAGAGTATAACAACTTTTCTGACTTGTAAAAACTCAAACTGCTTCATGTTTTGTGATTATAAAACCTGCCAATGAAACATGAAACACACCTCTTATGAAAAAATGGCTTTTTAAAAATCCTGCTGATAAACAGCCCTGACTGCCGATGCTCCACAGCGAATAAAAAAATAAATAAAAAAATGTAGTTGGCAACAAAACTGTTAAAGTAACTACATCTGAAAACTAGTTGCTGCTGTCGTGCTGTCAATAACCAAAGAAAAGATCAAAAATACAGACAGTCAAACAGTTGAAAACTAAAAGCTGAAGAGTCACTGTGTCTAAATCAGGTAGCGATTGTTGAGCTTGCTCGTATCAAGAGGCAGGAGGTACCTCACTTATCCACAGAGGATCCACACAGTGTTGGCAATTTGTGGAGCTCATGTCAGCAGTCATTACATAATACATTCAGCTTTGTCGACGCCTCGCTGTGGAGTCAAATTTAAACTGTGCTGCTGCTTTATATCTGTAATGCAGTCCCTCCTGATTGGTAAAAATTAACTTTACAGCCTAAAAGGCAACCAGGGTGTCCAGTAAAGTTTGTAATTTGGAAAAGGATCCAGATGGGCTTGCCAGAATCAATCTGCAAATAAACTTATTTTATGAACTGACTCTCCCACCTGGAAGATTTTTATGCCGTTGCCCTGCGTGCAAACATCTGTTGCGAGGAGGAGACGGAACGAGACATCAAAATGGGTGAGAGGTATTAAGACATGTTAAATAAGGATGTGCTTTTGTTCCATTTTAATAATGTTAAAGTGACAATTTCCTAAGTCAATTACCTACTACAGACAACAGCAGAGAGAAAGAGAGAACAGTATATTAATATTAGCAACTGGGTCAATTGAAAGCTAAGCTGAATTTTGCAAGATACATGAAATTTAAATAGTTATGACCACTAAAAGGTACACTTCCTGATTTTGTTAGTGCTACAAATGTCTTCTCGCAGTTCAAACAGGGAGGTGGGAGGAAATTTGAGGGTGCCATAACAAAATTAGGGAGCGTGACGTAAAGTCTGTCATAGGCCTTTTAAGCATGAAATAGTATTAGTCAACTGAGGCTTTTGGCAGAGGATCTAATTCTAAGCCAGCCTACTTTGATGTATAGGAACCTGTCTGGAGAGTGACCAGAGTTCGCAGCAGCCATAGGTGAAAAGTTAAACGCTTCATTTCAGAAAGAAACTATTTTTTTAAGCCGACATTTTTGGTATGCTTGATGCTTAACAGTTTAACATATACATGCTGCACCTCTGTCTGCGTGCATGCAAGTGTGAGCGCGTGTGATAAACCCGTATTCCTGCACTTGTGGAAGAAAAACCTGCCACATTATGCCGGTTTAACACTCTGTGATCCTTTGCTCTTATCTGGCACAAACATAAAGCTCAGCCAAGCTCTGCCACCTGGTCGAGATTCAAGGTAGGCTTTTCAACCCTGTAAATGTCAACAGGACACCCGTTCAACTCCGCATAGTTTCCATGACAACAAGGCACTTGACAGCCACCGTGCACAATGGGATGCTGTGGTCTAACAGGAATGATCCCGAGCTGTCAGTGGCAAAGACGGGTTGACAGATCGGCGGAAGGAAATGTACGTGAGATAGAGGTGAACAGTGCAGGAGAGAAAAAATAGATATGCATGAAAAATAAAGAAGGAGATGACGGTAAGAGGATCTGTGCAGATAATGATGTAAAAAAAATAAGTTGTGAAGATATGATGATGCAGTCAAATAAAGCGTCAACATGCAGAAATAAAAAAAAAAGAAATGAGAAAAAGGCAGATAAAGTTTCTTTGATGTATTAGCAACAGCAAATCAAATAGGTGTAGGAGAGGGTGAAAACAGATGAAAGAATGAGCGAGATGTAGATGGAAAGTGAGGGATGGCTGGTGTACTATCAGTGGGCATAATTTTCAGGGCAACAAAAGGGCAGGCAGGCAGAGGGGGAACCAAATCCTGGTCCGTTTGTCTCCTCAAATGGCCTCTAGGGACTGTCTGAAATGGCCCTTTTCTTCTTGGTCCTTTTCAGCCCTAAACTCCATCTACATGACAAACAGTGGCACTTTGAAGCTGCTTGTGTCATCTATGCCTATCTGTCACTCATTCCTGACCTTTTGCTCCCGCCTCTCATCTTTCTTTCTTTTTTTTTTTTCTTTCCCTCCCCCTCTTTCCAACAGTAATTCACTTTTTTTTTTTGTCACTGTCTCCCTTTCACCCACTATCCTTTTCATTTATCTTTGATATCTGCCTCTGTGCTCAAAATAAGTCTTTAGATCAAAAGAAAATACAAGGACGTTTCAGGAGCTCTTTTGACTTGGAGTTACATTGTTTGCAGAGTACTAATAAGAAGAAAGCCAATCAATAGGACTTTGGTGTAGCGGGTTGCAACATTAGTTGACCCTGAAATCTGTCTTAACTCTTGAGGTTAAGCTACTTAAACAGAATCTCGTTATCATTTTGAACAACAACAATGAAGCTAATCAGCAACTTCCTTGTGTAGAGGTACACATGTACCGCAGTGGCACACCCAGTGGTATCTCAGATATTTGTGCAACACATGGAAGAATAAACCAATGACTCAGTGGCACCCTTTGGCCATTCACTGCGTTTAAATGCTAAATAGAGACACATAATCTACATTATACGCAGTGTGTATTTGTGTGTACTGAAGTAATTAGTTATGAGAGCGGTCCTCATGCCGAGTAAAGGTCATCCTACCTGGTTGAAGTTCTCCAACCTCTCTTTGACCTCCACCACTGCAGGATCCACGCTGCGAACTTTGACCTCTGGGTTTTGCCTCTGGGCATGCAGACCATTTCCTACAACTCTGCCTGTGTAGCTGTAAAAAAAGAAACGAAAAGAAATCACATTAGTTGCTTGACACAACACAAGCCGCAGCCTGTTGCGATCTGCTTTAGTCTGCCTGTAAACATGCTGCGCTGCATTGTTGTGTTATTTTGATATCAAACACTGTGCAATTACAAATGACCACAATTGAAATATGTCTTGGAAGTTGCTCAGTTATACTTCAAAAATGAGCTGATGTCATTTGCTTTTCTTGCCAAACGACACCAAAAACCAGAGCTGCACTGTACATCATGTACAGCAGTCCATCACTTTCTGTGTACCAAAGTCTGCCAACTGTACCAGAGCACCTCTTCAGCATAAACTGAAAACCATTAGGGCTTCATTTGTCAAAGACAAAACACAGAGTGTTACATGGGAAATAGTGCACGGTCCATTATGCAACATCTTTTGAATCAACGCTGAATCAAATGTTGTCAAAATTGCTTAATGCTGCTTTTATGTTCTTCTGTGCCTGAAAAGATTTTCAATGAAAATCTGACAGAGCACAGCCTTGTAAAAATGAGATTGAAAGAAAGGGCGAGCTGGACCCTTTAATCTCCTGCATGCTCCGCGGGCCTGAAGCTTGGCAGGAATTACAGCTCTTGATTTGGTCTGAGCTGCTGTTGAGCTGATGTCAGGGAAGCTAACCTTTCTAGCAGGAAACCTGAATGAGAGGAGTGTTAGTCATGTAACAACAGACAAAATAAAAAAAGTTGTTTTGGCGAGAGAATCACAACCCATCAGAACACAGTTAAGCAAGCAGAATGGATTAATTTAACATTTTATAGTTTTAATGGTGAAATGTTTGGACCATGGACAGGATTACATTACTGCAGATTGACTTTTAATGCTGCGCCGCACATATCGTTTACCCACAGCCATTATACTGTTATCCAAATTAATTTGAGAATTATATTTTGATGCTAATCTTCCATGTGTGGAGGATTTAACGGCACTGGAGAGGAATGACATGTGCTGGCATCAAATCAATTGGTGCTTCCACATGCGAGGCTGATAAAGTGATTATTGATGGTTTAAGCGAGTGTGTTTAAATGGATGTGTTTATGGGCGTGTGTGTGTGTGTGTGCATTTGCGGTCGCACACACTCGTATGTATTCATGTGGATATGAGCGGAGGCAATCATAAAAGTGCTGAACCTGACAATCTCTGGCTTGTGATCTAAGCAAAGTCTTGATAAGGTCTGCGCTCCCTCATCTTGCTGAAGCAGCGCTTTACAGATCAGGCCCATAAAAATGCAAAAATTTCTCGCTTTACTCTGTGACGCTTCACATTAACTGTACACCCAGTTTTTTTATTTTTTTTATTTCCTCTTCCTCCTTCAATTGCTTGTTTCACTTTAGTGTATCTACAAAGTGGATTCCCCCCCCGAAACGGACACACACACACAATCAACTGTCTGCTTTGACAACAACTGAAGCTCTTAATTGCTGCCAACTCTGAATCTTCTCAACATGGAAACAATCGATAGCTTTTAGGCTTTCAACTTCCCCCCTCTGACATAAATGATTAATTGAAGAATCAAACAGCTCCCTAAGCAGTGGTTGAAAGTAGGGGGGGCTGTGTGTTAGGGAGTGTATGCGTGTCTGTCTCCCGAGTTGGCTTGTGATAACAGTGTTGGCGCGGAAATGAGCTCATCAGATTGGATGCTAATGAAAGGGAAGTGTCATGGTGAGTCTGGCAGCATGCTAGGCTCTGGAACATTTCAGTGCAGGGTATGTTTGATACTACATAGGGGATGTGACGACTGACACAGCAGGACATCCCAGAGGTGATTACCTGATAGACAAGACAATTAATGCTGCTAATTTTTGGACAGATCCGCGACACACATCAGATGGTACGATAAGTCTCCTGCCAATGGCAATAGCCGATTGCTTCAAAGATAATTTCGCTTTAATGCTGCATCTAAATGAACCGAAGCGTGAACCTCGAGCAGAAGGCAAGAAAAATACTGCAGCACCCCAAATGATAGCTTTTCCTCTAATTGAATAATAACTTTCTATAATCAGTAGACTGCGCTCTCCTCTGGTGGTCTCAAATGTTCAACCTCAATAAACATTACAAATGACTACCTACACATGTATGGCGTCTGACTCACGGCTCTCTGACTCTCTTCGCTGGAACTGACTCGCTCCCCTGTGAATGCGCAATTGATGCACTCTCCTAAAGGCAGCTTTGTCAGTTCTCGTCTTTCCTCCCTGCCTGGAGCGCAGACTAGAAGTGACCTCCACTCCCTGATGCTAACCCCGAACTCAAACTGTCTTGATCTTTAGAAGGCCTGCAGGAATGCTTGTGAGTTTTGAGGCAGAAAACAGAAATTAAATATTCATCCGCGAGGTGTAGAGGGAAATAACAGAAACAACGGGTGCATCTTGAGCGTACTCCTGAATGTGTCTGTGTTTAGGATATAAACAAAGTTAAGGCTATAGGATGAACAGCATTATTAGAAGGGTGTAAATGTTCATGTGGCTACTGCCGGCATAGGGGGTGTACAGTACATCGGCCGCGGGAAAACTAGATTCTACTCTGTCTTTCATCTGTGCTCAGTTCCTGACAGATTACCAATGTCTAGCTGGAAGGTTTAATGAGCCCACAACACTCACCCGGGACTCAATTAGTTAGATTTTTGTATATACAGTATGTGTGTGTCTCTCTTTAACTACAGGCAAGGGTCATCTTTGCATCTCCTCATACATATTTTTTTTATTGAAATTGAGAGCACTCTGGACTCCAACGGCCGGGAATATTTCCATTTAAAATACATATACAGCAAACAACAACAAAAAAAGAAGAGGACTTTTACTTTAAGTCCTCCTGGAGTTTAACAAACAGCAGGATGATTACTGGAGATTTACAGCAAAAAAGACTATGGAATAAACATATGGCAGGTAGGCCTGTTTGATTATAGCTTGCTTCATCGAACTGATTAACTGCATCCATACGGTTGTCAGAAATATTCGTCAGGATCCGAACTGTTGAGATTTTCCACAAACACCCAATCAGTGATGTGAGGAATACTGATGGGGAACCTCAGATCCTTCTTGTGGATATTACTTTGACACAACCAATCATTGCTCCAGACCAAGCAGGACAATGCGGCTGTTGCTCAACAAAAGCCGCTTAGGAATGGCTCGAAGGGTACGGCAAAGAGGAAAAAAAAAAGAGCTTGACCCAGTCTCAAGACTCCACAGATCCCAATCTGATCAAAGATAAATATGTGCCAGAACAAGCCTGATCCACAACCTGCAACTTTGTGGACGCAGACAATCTAATGCCAATGTCCCGGTGCCAGACACCACAGGACAATCCCAGAGATCCCATTTCCATGCCCTGATGGTTCAGAGCTATTTTGGAGGCATAAGCAGAACCTACACAATATTAGGCAGATGGTTTTGCGGCTGATCAGTGTTTATCTGCCAGAGAAAGAAACGGATGTACATCGGGTCTGAGATGATTAAAGGCAGTCTTGTTGATATTTTGGTTTTGTATAAAATCACAAGGCTTTACGAGTGCACCAAGGTTACGCGGTGTGCTCGGGGCTCGACATTTTTGCACAAATTAGAAACAGTTTATCCGTCTCTTTGCTGCAGTAATTAGAATCAATAATCATCTTGTACGAGCTCAACAGCAGGGCCCTCCTTGATATGCTCCTCAAGTTTATTACATCGGTGCCCTCGTGCGGTTTATCAATAGGGTCATATCAGTGAATAACAAATATAGACATATTCTGCACAGAGTATAATCTATGAAAATGAAATCGATAGCTGTGGGCGCGAGTAATATTTCCCACTGGCAGCATGTAAAGACTGAACAATGCAGGTCCTGGTGGAGCTTTGGAAACCCCGACATGTTGTGCTGACACGGGAATCAACATTATTTAGTCTCTGCTAGACGGAACAGACAGACAGGAACTCCTACAGCGATGTGAAATGTTGCTACAGAGGCAATCACATCCCTATGGTCCAGTAATTTCTACAAATAGTCAACTGGAACATGGGAAAATTCTCTAACCCAGCATACGGGAAGTCTGACAATATGTAAGGAGAAGAAACACCAAAGCATCGGTGTAGATGTACATGTCTGTCACCAAGGGGTTATTACAATTAAATGACATTTAAACATAAACCTGTGTCATGGACTTCACTGGTGCTGCTGCTGACTGAAAACACGAGACACGATGAATTATCTATCATCACTCTTCTATCAGATTTCTACTAGCAGTAGCTATGCACAGTTAATGAACTTTTACATTAGTGATATAAGAGTATACAGACACTTATTGTACATTTTATATTTTCTTATTGTTCCTTTTTGCTTATTTATCTGTATTTATGGTTATCTTTGTGCTGCAACAACCACATTTCCCCTTGGGGATTAATAAAGTATTTCTATATCATCTTTTTAAAAACAAACAAACAAACAAACAAAACTGATGGCTACAACAAACAAGCAAATAAACATACTTCAATTTGGATCACATTTCTGCATGTTAATTGATTTGGATAAATGATGTCTCTGAAACAAACATCAGGCTGAATCATAGCGAAGTGAGGAGGGAGGGGAAGTACGGGTGATTAATAGCCGAGAGGAGATGAGGCTGTTTTCATATGAGTGAGTGTGTGTGTTTTTGTGGCTGTGGGTGGTACCATTTCAGCTGAGGGGTGGGGTGGAGGGGGTTGCTGGATTAGAGCTGGTGGTACTGCTGTCAGCAAATTGTTGGTTCATCGTGATTAATAAAGCTTCTCCTCCAACCCTCCCGGCTATTGAGGGAACACGGCGTCAAACGTGTGAAGACCTTTGATTACTACATGATGTCAGCAGCTTTTTAGAAGAAGTCGCCACCGAGGGCTGGGACATCTTTGGTAAAAATGTGTGATATTTTTAAAGCTTTAATGTACCACCGTCTTTTTTTTCCCCCCTATTACCACACATTCATTTATCTTGCAACAGCGTCTGTACATTTTTAAGCAA